TTATTATGCGGGCTAAATTCCTTGATTATGCGGGCTAAAATCCTTGATTATGCGATTAAACATGCGGGGTTGTTATGTGATTTTATGCGGTGAAATTGCGGGAAGTTGCGAAATATGCGGAAAGTTGCGAAATATGCTTAAATATGCGGGGAAAAAGAATAACAATTTTTTAAAATATTGGGCTGTCTTATTTATTCTCTCTCACACACAACCTGCCACTAACGTTAAACCCCTTTACTATTCAATTAAACACATTCAATGTTTATTTATTGTAAAAGCAATTGGGCTTTTTTAATCTCTCACACACACACACACACACACACGCACACACACACACACACACGCACTTCTCCGCCTCATTCCGTTTTCATTTACTCGTTCGTTATCTGACCAGCTTCAATCTTGTAGGCTACTCACTTCGTTTCTTGTAGCCCTCGAAAGGGTTTTGGAGGTTGATGCCTCGCTGAACGTGAGTTGTTTGGCTTTCTTGTCCGCAGCAGCAGAAAGCATTTTCGAATGTTTGAATGAATCAAAGTGGGTCGTCCCTGTCGATTTTCTCTTATGCTCCAACACGCAGTTGCACGGGGTGCAGAATAGTTTCCCCCCACTTTTTGCCCGGTCTTTAGTGGAAATGTTCGTCGGTAAATGAGATGGATTACATTTTTTCATCTTGGTGTTTTCTCTATCGTGTGAGCTCCACACGTTCACTCTATACAGTGTTGTTTACATTCTGTGATGCGCGAGCTGATGACGTCACGTCAAGACGAGTCAACTTTTTTTTCTTCTCAATTTTGTGTGGAAAAATGCGGGGATTATGCGGCCTTTTGATAAATATGCGGCCTTTTAAAAATATGCGCCATTTTGCTGATTATGCGGTAAATTCTGCGATCGCAGAATCGCGTTTTTCTGGAGGGTCTAATTTACAAAAACCTACATGACACAATAAAGGAAAACCCCATATAGCACAATAGAGTTTCTTTAAAAAGTGACCGCATATGGAAGAGGAATTCTTGTGTCAAGATGATGTATCTCTTATCTTAGTTGATGCATTATTCATCCTAAGTGACTAACAATCCCTGTTTTGGATTTTACAGCTGTTGGTTACACACGTGTTTTACAGAAACAACAGACTTTGTGGTAAAACACAGTAACAAAACAAAACAACTTAAACTGTAGTTTCTTCTATAGGTTAAGATTGATCTCAGTTGGTTTCTTTAACTAATTATGTAACCAGACCAGTGGGCCATCCAGTTCCTTCAGCTGGAGAAGCTCTACCATGAACGTCTGCTCTCCAACCTTGCCGCCCTGCAGGATAACTGGGGTACTGTATGCATTTGTTTCCTTCCTCTATAAAATATTATCCGTGATGAAAAGCCTATTTGTAAGGCTGTGCAATATAAAGAAAGAAAGAAATTGTGGATATTGTCCATTTATTTTATGGGCATGTTTTCCCAGAGAGCCAGTGGAAAGAGAAGAAAAGCGATGAAAGCTGTTTGCCCGATGAGACGGACGGCATCGGTCAGAAACACATTGAGACCCTGAGCCAGATCTGCAGGACACATCATCGGTATACCACAACACATTACATATATATGAAGCTCTCATATAAATACCGCCTTTTTATGTTATGATCAGACACAAAAGAGATGTATGTCTGATCATAACATCAGACACACACCTCTGATGACAGTATTGCACTGGCAACATGAGTCCTAAAACCTGGAAATGGGTTCAAATGTACTACTACTACTGGTTCCCTAGTCTAAAAGTCAATGTTTTTTTTTGACGTGCTCTTTGTTAGATGCCTGAATAAAGATCTTTACGCCCAACATGACTTTAGCTTAGCAGTAGTGATGCACAGCCATGTGACCCTGATGTTTGCTTATAGCATTATGTTAGCTATTTACAACTGCCGATTGCCATTACACTTCACAAATCACAAGATTGGTGATGATATGTGGAGATTATTCCGCTGAAGAAAACGTGTAATAACGTGTGTTAGCCAAAGATCTTATATTATGCAATATTTTGAAATCCAATGGAAACCCATTATTATTCGTTGAGGGACCCCTTGCAATGCTATCTTCCATTTTAGCCAGCAAAATTACGTCATAACTGTACCACTCTATACAACACTTAACAAAAAAACAGACGTTTCACACTGTCCAGCACTTGTATTTTGTAAAGTGATTTATGTTATGATTACCACACCCAAGTCCAACACAGACAACACAAACTTCCAAAATAAACACGTTTACAAGATTCCTCTCATTACATTTCCTCCCAATAGCCTACCTTTATTGCTGTCTAACAGAAACCTTTTTGTGGTCATTTTCCCTTACTGTAATTTAACTCAAATTTCATCTCATATGTGGACAAACAGATGAATCCAACACATCAATAATACATGAAGGCACACTGAGAATACAGACCCACTTGGGAATCATTTTGGAAAATGTATATTTGTGACAGGGCAGAAAACACAGCTGGATAATGAAATTCTAAAGACACAGACACATACTGCAGTCTGCATTCCAGACTTTGTTGTGTTACACCTATCCAGGGACACTCCGGGTATGTTTTTGTAGGCCACAGCCATGTGATGCAGGTGGAATTGTTAGAGAACCTATGCCAACTCCTGCTGGAAAGACTTGCTGAATTTATTAGATTTTGTATTATAATAAGTAACACCAATAACCTTGTCTGGCCTCTCTCTACATCTTTTTGTCTGTCTTTTCTATTTCTCCTGCTGAATTACTGGTCTTTCCCTCAACTTGGCTTCCCTCTGCTTCTTTGTGTGTTTCTCTTTGTGGCATCATGCAGACCATCCACCTGTGTGGAAGAGGTAAGTCATGTAAGCCTTCATTTGATATTGCTCTTTTTCTGTTTAAAAAGTATCCTAATACATATTCAACTTTGTTTGATTCAACAGAACAAGCTGAATGCAACACTGAAAAACATTCAAAGCAAGAAGGAGACGCTACAACCCTGCCATGATAAAGGTAAACACGTTTAACTGTTTAAAGTACCAAGCTCTGCCAGCCTTTGTTTTTATCTCAATGCTAACTGCAATGCTAACATATCACAATAATGCTAACATACTGATAATTCACAGGTACTTTGTGAGCATGTTACCACTCACAATGATGATGCTAAACTGGCAGAATAAGTACCATGTTCACCATGTTATTATTCCAACATACTCACAATGGCAATGTTAACATACTTATACTAAACAGGAAAAATCTGTACTATGTTCACTACATCACCTTGTTAGCATGCCAACATGCTCACAATGATAATGCTAACATACTGATGCCTAACAGGTTCAATATGTACTATCTATGTCCACCATATTGCTCTGTGAGCATGCTAACTACTGACACTGATGACGCTGACAAACTCGTGCTAAACTGGTTAAAAAAAAGTACCTTGTTCACCATATTACTTTGTTAGCGTGCTCAAATGTTCACAATGAAAACAATAACATACTGATGCTCAACAGGTACAATATGTCATACATCCACCATATTACTTTTGCATATTTGCATGATAAAATGCCAATTAGAACAGACAAATGACAACAAAGGCTAATGGAAATGTCATTATGTGTAAACGCTTTAAAAGTCCTGACCTCAAAAAGTTGAAAGCATTACACATGGGGAGGCTGTGGCTCAGTGGTTAGTGTGCTAGACTTTGAATCAGGGGATAGCAAGTTCGAGTATTGAGTATGTAAGTCGCTTTGGATAAAAGCGTCTAACAAGTGACATGTAACATGGGCCATTTCTGATGCCTCACAAAGCAAATAACAGCTCACAAGTTACAAGCCCAAATGTCTGTTTCCCTGTCCAAACCTCAACACTGAAACATGGTTTTCTTGAAAGAAGATTTCTAAAAGCTGAGTTTCTGGCTTGAAAAAGACAATACAGGTTTCTTGCCTTATAGGTTTTCCCATGCAAGGCATTTGATTTGGTATTTGGTGAGAAATAAAAGCAAATAAAATTGGTCTCTTTTAAAGATTAAGAGCTTAACAGTTTTGCGCATGAATTACAAAAATAGTTCTGAGAAACATGCAACATTAGTGAAATTCATTTGCATTAATCCATTGCCAGACTTATAATCAACTAAAGTAAATTCTGGCAAATGTGGTCGCATGGACACTGTCAAGCCCTTGGGTATATTTGCAGTTTCCCCGCTTGAAAGGGATGGTACAGTCCATAGGAGGTTTTAACTGGGTTTCACTCATACAATGACCACAACTTTGTTTCTTTTGAGTTCTTCTTTACTTTCGTTTTTGTTGTTGCAGTACAGCTTATGTAGTAAGGTTGTAAGGTAAAAAACCTTAAATGAAAAATAATTACTGTAAATACAATACACATCAAATAATAAATGCAAAAATACATGCTTTACATGTACTTTTTAACACTTGTGAATATTGTTTTTACTTTCTTAGTGTATTTTTATGAATTATGTTTTTTAACAGTTTTTTACTTATGCAGTCTCATTAAAAATGCAAATATAATAGAACACTGAAACCGTTTTTATCAATCTACATCTCTCAATAAGTAAATCACATTCGTTTTTAAATCAACAATCATATTACTTTAGCTTGAGGACATCAAACAAATGACACTGAACTAGAACGCACGTTCTAACGTGCGCCACGAACGGCAAGTTGTATGACTCTTAACTAACCACACAGTTTGTCTCTCACCGGCCGCTTCTCCAGCTTTTTATGGCTGCACCAATGCTGCTTCTTTGATGTTTCTTCTGCTGGTTCGTTGCTGCTGCTGGACCAAGCGGCAAACCCTTGGGAAGAGCCGGGACGCCAATATGGAAGTGCAACACACTGCAGTTCATCTCGTGGCCAGTAGGAGCAGTCTGCAGAAGGGAGCAATTTCCATAGACCCCAATGTTAAAATGCCCAACTTTACAGCAGAAATAAACATGTTTACATCGTGGTTCAACAAACCATATTCTCTGTATAGTTAGATCCCCCCTTCATGAATATGGATTGGGGGGGTGAATTTTTTCTCAACTCATCTGTTTAATTAATATTAAGCCTTAAAGTTATGCATAAATTAGGGAGTGGTCACATTGAGTGACAGCTCCGTTCAATCACTGCTGCTGCTAGTTTCTTGTCTCTCTGCTAGCTGCTCCGTGAAGCTACAGGGACTCTGCCTGCTCAGTTTGTCCAGGGAACACAACTTGATCCGGCCGTGGTTGTTTGTTCTTCATGCTTACATATCGGACTATTGTGACTCGCTCTGCGGTTGGAACAGACGGTGCATGAATGCGGTTTTGCGGTAAGTGAAATTTGAGTACTTTATTTATGTGTTAATGATTTTAATCAGCTACGTAATGAATGTTAAAGCTTGGGTTAGCGTTAGGGTGGCCATTTCCATAACACCAAAAAGGAGGACACTTTGGGATTATCTTTTAGTTTTTATCCTGGCTTCACTGAATCCTTCACACTCAAAACACAATAAGACTCTAGTGTACTAACCACAAGTTGAATGTCTATTTACGATACTTTTGCCCTTTCCTGGCTGCTTCCAAGAGTTTTTTGTTTGTAAGGAGTCTCTGGTACATGTCTGTGCACTCAAATGTGAAGTTGACACAGATTTGCAGCTCTGCCTTGACACTGTCCACATCCAGACGATTTCTCTCATTTCTCCATGCTGAGGTCATCATTGAGAACACACGTTTTGTATGTGCATTGCTACATGGGATGGAGAAGATGTAGGCGCTGATCTTCCTCAGATTCACAAGTGGGACTTCTGCTTTGGAAAACAGTTTCAGATACCGCTCCTCACTGTGGCATCCTTCCATTTCTGAAGAGCTGAGAATAGCTTCCACCATGCCATATTCCTCATAGAGTCCATCCATGTCAATGTCTTTCAGGCTGCAGGCTTGGACTGCATCACTGTATTCTCCATAGGACACAGCAGTTGTGAGGCCAAGCTTTGACACTTTACTATGAAAGCTGTTCTCAGAGAAGTCATACCTTTCACTCACGTATTTCTTGGCTCTTTCATAGA